TTTTACTGACTGCTGCACTTTTCTTCTCCACCCTTCCCTTCCAGTCCTCTCTGCTTGGGTACCCTTGTAGTTATCAACTACTAACAAGTTATCAACTACTTGTTCTCATACCAATCCTGAAACCAAAACACAGCACTTTCTAGCTACTAAGAAGAAAATTAACCATATCCTAGCAAAAACCAGGACAACAGGTCAGCAGCTTTGAAAGCTGCTGCATTAGAGTAGGAGAAAGACGTTTCCCCTGGTGAGATTCCTCCTCATCCCAGAGCCCAGCTGGCAGGCTGCCTGCGGGGGAAGCTGTCAAGTGTCATTACTGATGCAAGAGCTGGGTTGTGACCTTAAAGTTGCCAGATGGAGTGGGAGGTCTTTTTCAGTCTTTATCTAGTGTGTGGTACTTACCCTGCCTCTTCTCAAATAAGTCTTAAGCGTCCCCCTCCCCTGGGCTCAGAAACCACAAGGATTGGGACCCCAAAATTTGGCATAGACTGATATTGCCTATACCAATTCTGTTTGATGACTACATTATTAATTCTCCTGTTCTGTTTAAAAATGAATTGTGATGGCCAAAAGATTACCCTTGGCATGATCTAGCTGTACAGCAACAGGAAGTGTAATCAAGTTGTTTGGCAATCAAGTATTCCAGCCTATATAAATAAGCATGCCAAAAAGTGATCTATTAATAATTGCACTGAAAACTCTTAAAGTCATAAACAACCAAACTCTCCAGTCCCACAGTGTAAGGGAGTTTGACAGCACAAACTTTAATAGTTACCCAGTAATGTCACTGCTGAGATCTCCATCAGCTTTATAACCTGCTGACACCATTCAACACTGGATGAAAACTCAAACCAGAACTGTAAATAAACTTCCAGCCTTCCATGAGGGAACTAATGTAGATATTAGTAATGGGACTGGAGGAGCAGAATTGAATAAGAGTTTACTACTCATCAGCTTAAGGGTGGGCCAGAAAGGATGAAGCAATCCAAAGTTTCAGCTGGAGATATCTTAGCCAGCAGGGACACAACTGGATCAGCCATATGGAAAAGGATATTTTCAAAGAATAAAAGAGATGCCAGTGTAATGACGTTGGCTTAGGTATGGCTAAGGCATAACGTCAGATTATGGAGAAGGAGAAACCAAGGTTGCCAGAAAGCAGTAAGTGCTGGTAAGAATTGCACAATGTTGTGAATGCCCACAGTACTTGGAAGGAGATAGGATGTGATTTAATCTAATAATTAGAGTCATTATCTGCAGTGCTGATTATCTCAGCTATTTATCTTATAGCCCAAAAGTTAAGGAAAGTTTAGTTTGCCCTGCAGCTGCTGGTGGCTGTGAGCCTTGATTCAGAGAAGGTGAAGTGCTGTAAATGCAGTGAGTGTCACTAAGACAAGGGAGTGAGGGGACATAGAAAACGGTGACAGCTTTAGATCACAGTCAAGACTGTCTTACAAGGTTTACTTACTCTTGAAGAATTTGAGGAAAATAGTACCTACCAGAGGTTAGTTAAACAAATCACTTATAAAGTAATGATGCATTTTGGGGGATGAGACTTGCTAATATTTGTCTAGTATCATTAATGACTGACTAACATTAAAATATTTCACTTATTTATACAGCTCTAGAGTCTGTAAAATAGAAGTGCAGGGTTCTCGCTGGGAAAATGGGATTTAAGATAGCTGAGGAGGGGAGGAGGCTGTGCCATGGGTTAAAGAGACATAAAGCCAATACCTTTCTTTAAAAATAAGGAAGAATAAATTAAACTCATTTACTCACATATGAAGCTGTATAATAGTTAAATCATACGGCTACAACACATCCTAGAGTTGAACAGAATATTGCCAGTATGTCCAGATGGATTAGAAATGTGTTGTAGAATAGATATCTTTGTACAAATATGACCCAGCAGTGTTATAGAAGCAAAACAAATTAAGCTGCTTAATGGTAAGGGTGTGATGAACATCCTCTCACAGCTACAGGCAAGGTGAGGTCTGTTCATTTTGTGCTCAGATCTCCAGCTTAGCTTATCTTAACAGCTCTGGTGATAGATCAGAATTAGATGAAGTATGCCATTTGACAGTTTTTAATGACTGTGATGTTTTCTTTCCTACTTTTTTTATAAATACTATGTAGCATTATAAAACACCTGCTGCAGTAGTGGAAGTATTCAATCACACCAGTAACAGGCAAGAGAGGTACGTAGTGGGTTTTGCACAGCAGTGGGAGGAGAAGTATTTAATAAAAGGAGGAACATTCTGTAGAGATACAGTGAAAACTGCATACAAACTCAGGTTCTAAAATTACCTTTCAACGTTTAAATTAACTATATTTCCAATTCATACCGTCACACTGAAGCCTTCTGGGAATATTTATGGCTTGTTTGCTTCATGTTTCAATTCTGAAACAGAAATATTTAAAGCTGTGTCTGAATACCTCAGTATCCAGGGGTTTATTTCTGTCACTGCAGGCTGACTTCTCCGATTCTCACAGGGGAATAACAGTTCTGGCTGATTCATTACCTCACTGGTTTTTGGGGTTTTTTTATTCACCTGGGTGTTGACATTAACAATTGGCATATAACTATCAGTTTAAAATTAGCTTAAAGACAAAACAGCTGTGCAAAAACTTTAGCTTTTCTAGTAGTTGCTTTAACTGTTTGTTTGGGGTTTTTTTTTAATAGGAATTGCAGTAGCATGAAAGGAAATTCTTCCTAATGGACAACTATTGAGCACGTCAGGACTCCCAAGAAAGATTTCGAAAGAAGCTTGAGCCACATTGGACTGGAATCATGTTAAACAAGCCAGTGCTGGTGGAATCCCTGATTGTGTTCGTCATCGTTCTCTTTGTGCACGCGGTGGTGTGGGACCGGTACTCCTGGTGCGCTGTCGCTCTCGCTGTCCAGGCTTTTTATGTCCAATTCAAATGGGACCGTCTGCTCCAGCTGGGTGGGGCTGTATTCCAGTTCCGTGCAGCAGCAAACAGTGGCCTCCTGCCAGCCAGCATGGTTATCCCCTTGTTGGGGATAGTGATGAAGGAGAGGTGCAAGTCTGCTGGCATCGTGTACTTTGAACGCTTTGGCATAGTCGTCGCTTCCACTGGCATGCTGGTTGCTCTCTTTCTGTCTGTAATAGCGGTGGGCATCACAAAACCTGTGCCCACCAACACGTGCATACTTACTGGTGTTGCTGGCAGCGTAATTATCTATACCATGAAGCACTCTCTGGCTGTTTCAGAAGTGATAGAGGTCCTAGAAGTGCTGCTAATTTTTGTCTACCTCAGTATGATCTTGCTGTACCTGTTGCCTCGATGTTTTACTCCTGGAGAGGCATTGCTCGTTCTCGAAGGTATAAGTTTTGTTCTCAATCAGCTCATTAAACGCTCACTGAATGTAATCGAGGGCAGGGGTGATCCCATAGACTTTTTCCTTCTGGTGGCAGTTGTTGGAGTTATTCTTCTTGGGCTTTTTTTCACTGTGCTCTTCATTTTCATGGATTCGGGTACGTGGATCTCCTCCATGTTTTTCCACATGATGACAGCAGTGCTAGGCTTAGGGGTCATCATGCCTTGGCTGTACCGACTGATCCAGAGGAACCCTTTGTTCTGGCTGCTCCAGTTTCTGTTTCAGACACAGACAAGAATTTACCTTCTTGCATATTGGACCTTTTTGGCTGCTTCAGCATGTGGTGTAGTTTTCTACCAGAACGCTAAGAGATCATCTGAATCTAAAAAACACCAAGCCTCAACTATAACCAGGAAATATTTCCATTTCATTGTTGTAGCTACTTACGTTCCTGGACTAATTTATGACCGGCAGCTTCTCTACGTTGCTGCAGTACTGTGTCTGGCAGTGTTTATCTTCTTGGAGTATATTCGGTACTTCAGGATCAAACCGTTTGGCCAAACCCTTAGGCATTTGCTGTCTCTCTTCTTGGATGAAAGAGACAGTGGACCTCTAATCTTGACTCATATCTATCTCCTCCTTGGCATGTCCCTCCCAGTGTGGTTGTTCCCCAGGTCTTGTGCTCCTAAAGGTACCTTGTCTGGGGCAGGAGCACTGGTCCCCTACTCTGGGGTACTGGCAGTAGGGGTAGGAGACACCATTGCCTCTGTTTTTGGCAGTACAATGGGGGAAATCAAATGGCCGGGAACAAAGAAGACCTTTGAAGGGACAATGACAGCTGTTTTTGCTCAGATCATTGCTGTAGCTCTTATTCTGATCTTTGACAGCAGTGTGAACCTGAACTCCAACTATGCCTGGATTCTGGCATCTGTGACTTTAGTTTCTCTTTTGGAAGCTTATACTACCCAAATCGATAACCTGCTGTTGCCTCTCTACCTCCAGATAATGTTTATGGCATAAAAGCATTTCCAGGAACTGAGGTTTCTCCCCTTCTAGAGAAAAGTGGTAATAGAATATGCACTGTAATGAGACCTCAAAGATGATCCAAACACTGCTTTTGGTACAGCAGATAAAATTGTTAAAAACAGAAATGAAAAAGACCTATTTAAAATAAAGGTTTTGGTTTGGTCTTGTTTTTTCCCCTGTTCAAAACAGCATGAGTTGCTTTGTGTTATCACAGGAACACAAACATGACTGATAAAAATAGCATTTGTGTTTAATAATCCAATTTAAGTTTCTTCGGGCTGCCCAGAGGAAAGAAAATAGAGGAAGAAGAGGTAAGTCAATTAAAGGAAAAAATAAATAAGCAAACCTCTCTGATGTTGCCACCTCTGTGTTGTATCACAAACAAAACTTGTTTTCCTGTACTGAGCCCTGCCGTCTTGTATTCCTGAATATGTGAAGTCCTCATTTCTGTATAAGCACCATCTAAAGCATGTTTTATACTGACAGGCCACAGAGTGAGTACAACTGTCCAAGTGTAACCAGTCACCATCAACAAGAGCCACTAACGCGCTGCGATTACGAACACAACTTCAAACTCAGTAGCTAAGTTTATTCGGGGCAGGTGGAAGAGGTTTGAGACTGTAAGAGACTGTTTATTCCAAATGGTACTAACAAAAGAGTGGCAGTTTTAGCCCTTAAGGTTTATGCAACAAGAACAATGTTTGATCTTTTTGAAGATTGTAATCTCCACATTCATTTGGAATGATAGTCAGTATAGGGGGAAAAAAACTAAGCAAAGTCACAGATAAAACTAATTACACATTAATCATGAAAGCAGAAAATCTGTTAAAGTCAATAAAATTTTCTAATACTGTTGCAGTTTTCTACTTTTCACGTTTTCTCAGCTAGATGTTTAATCAAATAATTTATAAAAATGCTTCTACCAACAAATCGAGGAAAGCCATTTAATTCCATACCTTTCATCAAAATTATAACTACCATTTTGTGGCCAAGAAAACCCACCTAATTTTTATGTATTAAACACTTCTGTATTGACAGTCTCTTGCCAAGTGTCCATTAGAACAAAACACCTTAGCATGTGTCCTCCCTGCCTCTGCCCTTCCCCTGAGAAATGTCCAAGCAGATTTGCTTTCCAGGCTCCTCGTTTGCATGATGAAGTTCACTTCTGACACTTTTTATTCACTTTCGGGAACAGTTTTGTGCGAGTCCAAGATACCTTACACAAAACTGGGGGTGGAGTGAAACTAGTGCTCTGGGCCAGCAGACAGAGCCAGCAAAATTGGCCCCAGAATCTAAAACCCCATATTTGTCCCTGCAACGAGCCAGGACTCGAATAGCTGAGCAGCAGCGCTGCCCAATTCCCCCCCTGCCTGGGCAGGGCTCCTGAGATTTGATATGGCTTTTCCCAAGGATGTCAAAATAATCCAGCCTTGGTTTTGGCAAATAACCAAGAGACTCTTTGTAGGAAACCAAACTCATTAATTGTGCTAGACTGAGTTTCCTTCACATTTAACAGGAAATCCTGCAACTCCAATCCACCTTCTTGCTTTTATTTACACACTTGAACCAGATGTTTTTCTGCATTGCAGGTAGTGGTGCATATAATCAGAGAATAAACCCACTCCTCAGCAGAAAGGTGCTATTCTAAATTATTGACTCTTCTAATGGAAAGATCCAGAAAAAGCTTTAGCTGCTTCCATCACGAGCCACAGCCTTCACCGTTAACATCATAAAATAGTACCAGAGTTAAAGTCATTTTCCTTACACCCTGCTCACAGCTTCCAAACAAACTGCAGAAAGGCAGAGGAGGGCACCAGCCACACCTGCAGAAACTCTGAACTCCAGATTACTACTATTGCCATTACCCAGCTTCCTAACTCCTGCTACAGCCACCTGAGCATTCCTCTGGGATGAACTCCTGGCTGTACTGGGCATATTCTGCATTGCCCAGCAAAGCCCGAAGGGCTGAAAGGAAACTGCTTCCCATGAAGAAACCCAGTTGGATTATTTCACAACAAATGCCAGAGACAGGGAATATACTTTGGAAAGGGCTGAGTCAGTAAGAACTGGGGCTCACTCTCCCAGGACTCCGAGCAGGCTTGAGCTTGCCTCGCATGTAACTTCTGTTTCTTAACATCCCTTTGGTCTCACCTTGCTGTAAGTTGGTTTGGTTTTATTGGGGTTTTGGGGATAATAATTGTTCTTGTGCACATTGAGAGTTCAAACCGGTCATCAGCCAACTTCACACTCACCCCATCTGTTGGGAGAAGGTCACACTGTGTCTTCCTCAAAGAAAAGATGAGGGAGATTAAAAGGAGATTTCCTATTTTTTTTTAATTTAAATGTTAGGAGTTTGACTGGGGGCTTTGTTTTCATAATTTCAACATGAATCTTTAAGAAGTGTAATACTGTTAATAAACAAACCCAGATATCAAGCACTCAGCCACAGATTGCTAGAAATACTTGGAAGATTGATTATAAAAGTAGACTTCCTGCTTCAGTTTGCCCACAATAGGATTATTTTTAATCACTATTATTCAAACAACATGACAGAGACCTAAAAGTTATCCATCTTCATGTGATGCATTCATCTGCATTGCTGGGACTGACACAGCCAAGTAATGCACTAGCCCAGCTCTTGACTTAAACAGAAGAAAATACCGAGTATCTGCAAGAAGAAATACTTTTTAACTGGTCCCAGTTAAGGTCTTTAATGGTCTATTCTCAAGTCTGAAGAAGTTTCCTTACCAAAAGGACTGGGTGACTACTCTCATACTAGCAGGGCTCATGCTGTAGTAGAAGGTTCTGCCTGGTGCAGGTGTATTCAGCTGTGTTATGGGTCCTTGTTCTGGACAGAGGATAAATTAATCTTCAGAGCTGATCTAGTGGAAGTTGTGTTTAAAGGGAACATGAATCAATGATCAGAAAGGAATTTTGTTCAGCTATTGACTCCAGAAGCCAATCACTAACTTCAAGTGTAGAGCGATGGAAAAGGCAGTTCAGGAGTTGGCTGGAGCCTAGGAAGCAAGGAAGAGGTAAAAACAAGACTTCAGAGGCTGTTCCAGTTCTCCAGGTATGAAATCAGTGCGAACTGAGGTACTACCAACAGAAACTGTGACATGCAAGACCACCAATAAAAGTTTATCCTGGCTACTGCCTTGAAAAGGCTCCAGTTTCCTCAGCTGCTTAGAATCACAGAATCATTTTGGTTGGGAAAGACTGTTAAGATCATTGGCTTTTTAGGATGGTGACCTTACCAGTTCTCTTTGCTCCAGCTGGTGTCTTTGGCTTCCATCACATGGAAGGTGAACACGTGGCGAGAAGACTCTGAGCTGTTCAGTTCACTCTTATGGACGACTTCACCGTGGATGAGAATGAGTCCACCTGTTTGAAAGAAACACCCACACTGAGTTTTTTTTTTTTCAAATTCTGCTAGCTTTAAGAACAGAAGGGAAGTTGAAAGTGTTAAAATACAAGTTTAGCTCTCTTATCTTTCTTGAGCTGTAAAGCAGACTTGTTTGGGGGCTGTTTTTACCTTTACTTATAGGCAGGGGTATGAACTGGCTGTCATCGTAGGCTGGGTCTGACCCTACAAACTCCACGCACGTTGAGGCACCTGAAGGTGCACGGACCATTCTCCGGGTAATTCCACCTGCAAATCCACACAATAAGCAAACACAGAAATTAAACATCTAGCTACATTCTGCACAGCAGAGGAACATCATCTGTGATTTCTCCTGGCAATGATAGGAACTTTATTATTATGGTATATTCAGTTTTTTCCTTAGTAATTTTGGTCGGGGTTTTTTTTTTTTAAGTAAAGATTTGGGATTTTCCAGCTGCGGCAGAAACTAAAAAAACTGCCTTTTATTTGCCTTTCTGGCTCTTTCTGTGCATTGCAACATAGCCCTTTAGGAACATATAGTCATGTACTTATGAAAAGCCAACCTTTGGTCCATTTCTCCTTTCTATAAGAGCATTAATTGCAATCAGAGTGCAGCTGACCCCAGAATTTATGAGGTTTGAATGCCTTAAAAAACAAACAAACAAAAAAATCTTAAGAGCACTCTGATTACACTCAGTGAGTGAATACTGAGGTGAGTAACAGTTTAAAGCTGATTAGTGAGCCCTAGAGGTGGTGACAAACAGAAAGCCATGGTGGTAATTCCATAGTGGTTACACACAGAGCAACAACCATCGGTCACAACGGCCGTTACATGAGTCTGTGCTGATCTGGTCTTTGTGTTCCCCTGGGACACTGGCTGTTCCACGATGGTTTGGATGGTGTCCAAGTGATCCTTGCATAGACTTGGAGGCTTTCCTTGTTTACTGAAATTCAGACCAATATTTGACAGTTCTGTGTGTGGAAGCAGGTTTTTATTCCTCTTACATAGGGCTGTTGGGACTAAATAATTTATTGGCCAGGGTGAAAAAGGGGAGCTTTGTGAAGGGGATGCAACCTGGGAAAGAAAGAGGTTTGTGAGTGAATGGGGGGAAATAACTGAAAAAACCCCAACAAAAAACCCTACTCCAGAAGGCAAAAGGAGGATTATTACTCTTTGTAGTCCAGATCAGACTTGATGGAACGTTTTCAAAGCTACAGTTAGAACTGTGGAGGGAGCACCAACATATAGCAATGACCTGACTGACTACAGGAAGAAAGGACCCGGTGGTTTAAGGTCTTCTTTACACTGAAGTCCTAAATCTCAGTGGCCTCACAAGGCAGAGTCTGAATCTTGCAAGGGAAGCTTATGAAATAATACTGAAATGAATAGAAAAGGTTCAGGAGCAGTTTTGGGCCTCATCTTAACAGATTCTGGAGTAAATAAACATTCAGAAGGACTGTTCTTTCTTCCTCCAGTGCCCTGGATTTTTTGTTTCTAGGCCAGATATCAATTTAAAACTAAACATTGTGTCATTCATGTATACTAGGGGGGTCTTAATTAAAAAAATAGTTATATTAGACTTATCTGATGACTACTGACCAAAAGCAAAGAGCAGCAGTTAATAACCTGCTGAAAAAAGTGGTTCTGGATTTGACAACAGCATAGGAGGAGATGTTTGTAGTAAATAAAGTTGTCCTTTCCACAAACAAGGACAGTAGTGTGCTCCTGCAGGCACTGTGCGATGCAGAGAACGTGGCACAGTCCATGTTACCCTCCACC